AATAGATTTAAAAAATAATAGTAATAATAATAATAAAAGTAGCAGAAACCTAAACGCGACAATCAAAGCAGCAAGGAACACCTGGCATATCTCACACAACGACAAATAAAACAAAACGAAAGAACAATGACCTGTGAGTTGTGAATAATTCATCAGTTTTTATTAGTTATTTTAGACGTAGTGACAGTTGGTGGAAGAGCACTAGCGTCTCAATTAGCATAAAACAAGGAAACAAAATAATAATATTATAGAATTGCTCTAGACTTACCAGTTATATAAAGACTGAGACTGTGTTTCTAAACAGTTTTTGGAAAGAAGGTATTGTCATTTCTGTTTTCATTCCGGTTAACAATGAAAATGCAGTTGACTTGCTTTCCTCTGTGATTATTTTCAAACCCCTCAAAGTCTCGGTTCAATGCGGCCTACATAATATATAGATCTACATAATTTAAACGTGTTCTAAATAATAAGTACGATACAGCTACCACTGTAGGGTTCTTAACCAAACAGTCTTTCCTTTGATCCATTTTTTGCTCTTCAGTGTCTAATTTCTCACAACTCACCAAAGTCGCGTGACATCTACGCGAATCATTGGCTGTATTCTTCTATGTAGAACAACACGATAAGCTTTTTTGACCAACACTATAAGCTTTTCAGCAAACTTCTTCGTCTTACGTGTGCCGCCACCCGCCTAAACTTTGTCTCCGTGGTCTTCTCTTTCCGTTTGCATAGACAGTATTCGTTTCACAAAGAAAGCAGCACCAGTTCTCAGTTTTCTCTCCTTATCTAGTCCACAGTGTTCTCTGCTGCCGTCTGTTTTATGTCTGTCGTTTGCTGCTGTTCTCTTCTTTTCTGCCACCAGCCCTTTCTTCGCCCTTTCTCCCATTCTGTGTACAGGTTTTGTTCTTTGTTTGTTAATCCTTGTTAGTAGTTGTGTATCACCAAGAAAGTTCTTACAGCTTTGCAACAACTCAGATGTCCCGATTGTGTGATCCTTTTACGATTTCGGTACTTCGAGGTTATTCAACAACATACACATAAACATAATCATCAAAGACAGTAGCTAGCAAACAACAACAACAAGATTTCAACAGCAACGGAAACAGCAACAATTACAACAAAACAACTATGCTACAACCACAGCAACAACAACAGCAACAACAACAGCAACAACAACAGCAACAACAACAGCAACAACAACAGCAACAACAAATTTCCTAGAACAGCAACTAGCCAACAACAAAAGCAACAATATCAACAATCAATCTTGAAGAGAAAAAAAAGAACGACTAATATTTTTTTGAAAAACAACGACAACAAAACAAAACAAGAGGAGCACAAAAAAGTAGACGACGAAGGGGAGAAAAGAGAAAAAAAAAAGAAAAACCCGAAACACTGCTCCCTGACAGCATGACCCTGTGTGCTGACACGTCGACCTATATCTCCCGTTTCTATTTGAAACAAGCTGACATTTCTCAATCGCTGAACGTTTCTTATAACAGAGCCGGACTGACACATTTATACACCACTGTAATTATCCCTACCATCTTCTGTTACGCCTTGCTTAGCGCGCCAAAAAAGAAAGACAAACCAGAATATATTCAACAGTGCAGCTGTGGTAAAAGAAACAATAGCTTAC